CATTCGATTTCATCCTGGACACTACAGAAAATGGGCTTAAAGTGTAAAAAACCGAACTTCTCCTTTAAATTAATATTGATTACAGAAGTGAAAAAATAAGGAAAGAATAGAAAGAGGGAAAAAAAGATCAAAAAAGGGGAAAAAAAGGAAAAAAAGTGAAACTAAAAAGTTTATTTAATTTTGCTTTTATCCATTCCCCTTAAATTACCAAGTTTAGCATCCTCCTTGCAGGCTGTTTAGAGGCACACTAAAGAACACGAGATGACCAGAGTTGTTTATTGCTTACTGTATCAAAGCACTAATCCCTTTTTATTCAGAATTTTCTCATGAGGTCATCTCTTTAAACCACAACAGTGGGCCGCCATCTGTTTGATGATGCTTCCAAGTTTGTGTTCATCCGAAGGCTTTGAACCGCGTCTGTGAATCTGGATGCATCGTGGCATCGTGCGTCCGTGTATCCTCTCACTACAAACAGCAGGAGCCACAATAGCGTTTTCAGACGTGCTCAGAAAGCCTCACACGTAATTAGTGTTGGTCGGACCAGCATGAGGGCATTCACCAGTGAGCACGCTGTGTGTCCACAGGAGCGGCACTAACTTCATTATGGGATTTAGAATCGCTTTGAACCTCGCCGCGGCGAGTCGATGGGGAGACACTCGCTCTGAGCGGCGCTGACACATCTGAGCAGAATCAAAGGAAGTGTTAGTGTATCGCTCTCTGTCTCACTCGCTCATTTTTCTCGCTCTCATTCACCCTTTTATGCTCTCTTGTGTGTTCCTGATCCTCTACTCAAACAAGTCCAGCGTTTCCTCCCGTGAGGCGATGGGGATGGTATCTATACAATAGGGGCATCAAGCATCTGTACGTTTAACTGTTAAAATATAGATTTAGATAGATGAAGCATCAGTACCACTGTAAACATGCAACAGGACTTATGCAGCGATTTAATACATTTCCAATATTCTCAGAAATAAAAAAAATAACATCCCCTTTGACAAATATCCTATTTTTACAGCTTTGTCACTGTTGAATGCTTTAGATGCTTTGAATGTTTTTGGATTGATGACTTTATGTAGTTATGTAGACACGGCCCATCACATGGCGTCATGTGCAAGAACTTACTTTTGTTCCCCTTACGACCCGACTTGGTGGTATTAACATCCCAGGGCAGTGCGGTTATTTCTCTGTGGAAAATGACACTTTTACCAGATTCAGCAGCATCTTCACAAGGGGCTACCCTGCTGTTAGGACAACATATCTATTTGGGACATTCACTACAATCTATTTTATCAATATAAAGACAATAAAAAACTCAATCTTAAGGCACTTTATGAAGTTAATAAATTTTATTTGTTAACACAGAATTGAGCATGCAGTTACAGTGGCTCGTCAATTGCCTAGTTTTTGCAGCAATCCCTCATTCCAAGCATGCATGTCTGCCACGACTGACTGGGGGTTTTGAGAAACAGAGCAAACACACAAAACGAACAAAGAAACACAAATCAGATGTACTTTCTATGTAAGAGAGAGGTAAAAAGGTTAATGACAATAATTGCTCCTTTAGTGGAATTATCTAATATTATTTATCTGATAGATTTTAGTTTCTTCGTGTTAATGATAAATCTTCCTCATGCTCCAGGATTACCAGTGGAGTACCACATGGATCAGTGCTAGGACTACTTCCCTTTACTATATACATGCTCCCAATCAGTAGAATCATTAGACAGCATGGGATTAATTTCCACTGTTATGCTGATGATACTACTAGTTATACACTATATTGCCAAAAGTATTTGCTCACCCATCCAAATTATTGGAATCAGGTGTTCCAATCACTTCCATGGCCACAGGTGTATAAATTCAAGCACCTAGGCATGCAGACTGTTTTTACAAACATTTGTGAAAGAATGGGTCGCTCTCAGGAGCTCAGTGAATTCCAGCGTGGAACTGTGATAGGATGCCACCTGTGCAACAAATCCAGTCGTGAAATTTCCTCGCTCCTAAATATTCCACAGTCAACTGTCAGCTGTATTATAAGAAAATGGAAGTGTTTGGGAACGACAGCAACTCAGCCACGAAGTGGTAGGCCACGTAAACTGACGGAGCGGGGTCAGCGGATGCTGACGCGCATAGTGCGAAGAGGTCGCCAACTTTCTGCAGAGTCAATCACTACAGACCTCCAAACTTCATGTGGCCTTCAGATTAGCTCAAGAACAGTGCGCAGAGAGCTTCATGGAATGGGTTTCCATGGTCGAGCAGCTGCATCCAAGCCATACATCACCAAGTGCAATGCAAAGCGTCGGATGCGGTGGTGTAAAGCACGCCGCCACTGGACTCTAGAGCAGTGGAGACGCGTTCTCTGGAGTGACGAATCGCGCTTCTCCATCTGGCAATCTGATGGACGGGTCTGGGTTTGGCGGTTGCCAGGAGAACGGTACTTGTCTGACTGCATTGTGCCAAGTGTAAAGTTTGGTGGAGGGGGGATTATGGTGTGAGGTTGTTTTTCAGGAGCTGGGCTTGGCCCCTTAGTTCCAGTGAAAGGAACTCTGAATGCTTCAGCATACCAAGACATTTTGGACAATTCCATGCTCCCAACTTTGTGGGAACAGTTTGGAGCTGGCCCCTTCCTCTTCCAACATGACTGTGCACCAGTGCACAAAGCAAGGTCCATAAAGACATGGATGACAGAGTCTGGTGTGGATGAACTTGACTGGCCTGCACAGAGTCCTGACCTCAACCCGATAGAACACCTTTGGGATGAATTAGAGCGGAGACTGAGAGCCAGGCCTTCTCGTCCAACATCAGTGTGCGACCTCACAAATGCGCTTCTGGAAGAATGGTCAAAAATTCCCATAAACACACTCCTAAACCTTGTGGACAGCCTTCCCAGAAGAGTTGAAGCTGTTCTAGCTGCAAAGGGTGGACCGACGTCATATTGAACCCTATGGATTAGGAACGGGATGTCACTTAAGCTCATATGTGAGTCAAGGCAGGTGAGCAAATACTTTTGGCAATATAGTGTATCTGTCTAGAAATACAGATGAAAGTAACCCATTGCATAGAGTACAGGCAGGTCTTGAAGGTGACTTATTGTTTTTGGACCAGAGTCTTTTTTAAAAAGAAACTAATTAGTCAGTCACTTTATTTGGATGGGATTAAATTGATCTCAGACAATAAAGTGAAAATGTTGGTGTTGTTTTTGATCAGAACTTGTCATTTAAATCCCATATCAGATAGGTTTCTAGAATTTCCTTCTTTCATCATCGGGATATTGCAGAAATGAGAAATCTCCTGTCCAGGGGTGATGCTGAGAAACTAGTCCATGCATTTGTTACTTCAAGGCTGGACTATTGTCATTCTTTACTCTCAGGAAGTCCACAAACTGTAGTTAAAAGCCTTCAGCTGATCCAAAATGCTGCAGCCAGAGTTCTGATGAAGATTAAAAAGAGATCACATCTCTCCTATCCTGGCTTCTCTTCATTGGCTTCCTGTTAAATCCACAATATAATTTAAAATCCTCCTTCTCACATATAAAGCCTTAAATGGCCAAGCTCCATCTGATATCAGAGATCTGATTGTTCCTTATGTTCCTGACAGAGCACTTCAGTCTTAACTTTGGGCTTCGGTCCTCTAATCTGCAGGTTTACTAGTGGTTCCTAGAATTTCTAAAAGTAGAATGGGAGGCAGATCTTTTAGTTATAAGTCTTCTTTCCTGTGGAACCAACTACCAGTTTTAGTCTGTGAGGCAGACACCCTGTCTACTTTTATTGTTAGGCTTAAAACGTTCCTTTTTGATAAAGCTTATAGTTAGAGTGGCTCAGGTTATCCTTCATAATTCTGCTTCTTTATTCTCCCATTCTGTATTATTTGTTAGTTGAATCTCTAACTTTATGCTCCCTCTCATTGTTAATAAAAAACATCATCATCCAATCTCCTCTTTTTTTTATTTTAAAAAAGTGTCCTAAACCAAGTTAAATTAGGTCTAATTGAACAGCAGGTGGTGAGAACATAAAAGTAAAGGGTGTTTTATATGATCTTTGTAAATACCTGTTTATATTATGTGTTTATAACAGTTATTTTACATAAAGTAACAAATTCACTTGTTTCAAGCAATATTCACATTAAGCATATTTAAAAATCCACATGTGGCAGCTGTAGTTGAATGGTAGGTTAATAATCTTCCAGTTACTCTACCAGTTATGCTTTGATTTGCTCTTAGTTAGAGATGTCCAATGTGTGGCCAGATGGACAGTTTTGGCCCTTAAAATATTTTTTGTGACCCCTTGAAACAAATAAATAAATGGTACGCGTCAAACTCAAACCTAACGATGAGTTGCAGTAACTTTAAATGTAAATAAAAAGCTTTATTGTTATTTTTTTAGAACCTACAATCTTATTTTATTGTCAATATCTCTTTTGCAAAATACTCAAAAGCCAACAACAAAATTAGTTTTGCCATATTTCACAAGACAAGCGAAGGCTATCAAATGTCAGCAGATATTTGACCAGTTTAAATATCCAGAAACTTAAAGGTATAACTATTCACAACTCGTTCAATTATGGTAAAGATTACAACTACCTCCATTTTGACTTAAATTATTGTCCCTATTTTTCACTTTAACTGAAAATAGTGTTTTAGCCCAAAACATTTTTGCCCTTACCTTTTGCATAACATTTTCTTGTCATTTTGTGTTGTTGAAATAAATGACAGTTTGGTTTGTTGTTGAAGAGGTGAAAAGGATGAAATTCAAACTAAAATGATTTTGCATTAATGGCCCCTGAGTACTTTCAACTTTGGGATATTGGCTTGTGGTGCAAAATATTTGAAAATTGTAAGTCAACAGATAAGAACAAATGCATATATCAGAGAGTGCAAAGCAGTGAATATTGCCTAACATAACTTTACATTTATGAGTGATGGATAGCTGTGACAGCATGGCAGGTTTCCATATTATCCTGCCTTGTTTTATTTCTTTGCTCTTCTTATCTGTCTTTCACAGCAGGGGGTGATTGTTGCAGGGGGAGAGGAGTACCTCATTGAACCGCTTGTCTCACCAGATAACCAAACGAGGGCAGCGAGGGGGGAGAGAACAGAGGGGCGCCCCCATGTGGTTTACAAACGCTCATCACTGCGCCATCAGTACAAGGGCCGGTCCTGCGGAGTCTCTGGTGAGAAAAGGGGATAAGGCTCTTTTATACTTGCAGCATTAAACTCCAGATAAGAGGCAAACAAGCCAGCAGCGTTTTATAGACCCGTGTTCAACATTCTTACAAACACTCACTTCACATTTGATTATGTTTTGTTAATGCTATGAAAGTTCTTTTTAATTTGTCAGATAATCAGAGCTGCGTGTCATTTACTTCAGATGAAAAACCAATGAAAGGGGCCTCGTGGTGGCAGCGGACTCTGAAGACCCCGCCTCTCCATGTCGGCCGTGGCCAGCTGCCCCTCAAGCGCTCGGTCAGTCAGGAGCGGTACGTGGAGACGCTGGTGGTGGCTGACAAGATGATGGTGGGTTACCACGGTCGCAGGGACATCGAGCAGTACATCCTGGCCGTCATGAATATTGTAAGTTTCACAACACAAAATAAAGACCAACATAGAGCCGTAAGATGCTACTAATTTCATTATTTTTCATTAATTAACAGAAAATAACTTCCTTAACTGATTGCTGCTAAAGGCTCTGCCTTTTAAGCTGTTAAATCATGAAATGTACTTACTGTTTTTTGGTTCTTGTTTTGGTTCTATCCCTGTTTAATAGAGATAGTTTTGAATCTGCTGTGTCAAACAAGTAAAGTTAGTTTTGAACAACTTTCAAATTCTCTAAAAAGCAGATCATTTATTTGTAAAACTCTACACTTAAAAGAGGATTTCCTTTAATGTATAATGTCCAAATTAATTTCATGAACTGAATTAGATGCACGATAAACCAAATCAGTATTGAGACAACAGAAAATAAGCAAATTGGATATTTAAACTGCATGCTTCATCCCGGGGTTAACCGAGGCATGGTTTAGCTTCAATTCAACTCATGTAGTTGTTTAAGCATAGAACTTCTCGTGCTAAACTTTAAAACCACGCAAACACCAACAAATGTCAGGAATGTATTTAATTAGAGGAGAGTAAAAAATAAAGCAAGCCAAAACATGGAGTTAAATCAAAGAAAGGTCTGTTTTGGGGAAGTAAAATGTCATAAATTGCATCAAACAGAAGGATGAGACTGAAACTTAGGCCGCATTTAGTTCTGATCACGTTTATGAGATTAAGACAAAATTGTCCCCTTAGTTGTGAAAACCAGCATTTGCAAAACAGTCTGTTTATTGGAAGGTTTGGTTAAAGTTAGCTTGTTTTTACATTAAGACTCACAGTTGATGGAATTTTAAGTCAGAGTCCAGTCTGTTGACAGGACAGCTATCAGTCATGCTCTCTTTTATGAGAGTGTAGTAAGAATAAAAGCCCTTGTTGAAAGACTCAGGAAGATTTGCACAGAGTCCCGCCACAAGAAACACAGTGGACACAGCAAACATTTGGAAGAAGGAATCTGGTCAGATGAGAACAGAATTTTATGTTTTGGTTACATGTCTAAGGCTGAAGATCTCATCGCCGCAGTGGAACATAGTGGTGGCAGCATTGTCCTTTGTGGATGCACTTTTTCAGCAGCAAATTCAGGGAGATAGTAACAGAGGACCTGTGGGAGGTTCTCCTTCTTGATAAACTGTGCATCCGTTTGCAGCCAGCAATGTAGCAGTTCAGAACAGTATTGGTTCATATGCTGAACATCCCAGTCAAAGTCCAGACATATAGGGGTAACAAGCGACTCAGATTAAATTCGCCTTCAAAAGCCTCGGCTCCGATCAGCATACAGTGGGAATATCGGACCTGCTGATTTATGTGATACCATACTAAACAATAAAGAACACCAACTACGCCTTGGTCCCCTTCATTTTGCTCTCCATTGTTTACTTTGCTGATTAGTGTTGCACTTATGACATCATCAATGCTGACCCAGCATGATGGAGTCATCAGACAAGCAGCAGCAGTGAAAAAGAGGTCACGCAGCATGCCAGCGGGGGGGTCAGACCCGGCTATTTTTCCAATGGGAAGACAGCCAAATACAGATTGGTGGCGGGTTGATCCATGTTTAAAAAACCTGTTGATTTTGGAGGTAAAGAGGCTTTACTGAGGCTGCTGTAAATGTAGACTCACTGCATCCCTGCCTCAAAGTTTTCATGAGCCGTTATACACAGTGTGAAACTTAATGGCTGAATTATATGTATTTTTCATTACTTCTTTCTGTAAAAGTCTCTATAAAACTCCTAAAATCCCCTGGTTTCTTCATCCACCCTATCCTATCCGTCTGCGCTGCTTTGACAGACAGCCAATAAAAAAATGGAGGGATTCTGAATCTCCTGCAGCTGGATGATATGAGTATGAAAATTAGGTGATGATGCTGATGAAGATTCTCAGTCATCCAGGTCATAGTCATTCCATAAAAGTAAAAGAAAATATCCACTAGACTTGGTTTCCAAGATTTGAAGACGTTTCGCCACCTCTCCAGGAAGCTTTCTCAATTCAAATGTCTGGATCCGCAGTGAGTTTGAGTCTTAAGCCCCATTTACACTACCCTTGAAAAACCGATCCAGGCCGAGACCGGTCCGAGCTTGGATCGGTAACCAGGCCAAGCTCAGTTTTGACGACCGTTCACACGTCACACTTATCTCGGTTATCTCGACTCCTTGACTCCTCGCCTCCTAGTGACGATGTGCGGTATTACTGCTAGGATTGAAGGAGGGACTCAAGCAGCTGGTGGCGGTAATGCACCAAACGCTGTTTGTCAACCGCCGTAAAACCCAAGAAGAAGAAGACGAAGGAGGAGGGAATCAAGCAAATCAAAATGGCGGCGCCCGTCACATTCAGAAAGTTATGCTTGATTATTATTGCTGTACTTCCGTGTTTGCGGTGGGTCAGGCGAAGACGGCAACCTTGCGCGGATGTACTTGAGAAAGTCGGCTTTTGGGAAGCCGACTTTCTGGAATGGAGTGTGAATCGGCAAGTTCAGCCAGTCGGCGATGACGCGTTCTGCTCATGCGCTCTTGTTATCAGAGAACCGAGCCAGGAAAAAACCGAGCCGAACCCACCTCGGGAACTGGTCTGCAGTTAGCGCGGTCCGGTTATGTCTATCTCGGTTCAGTTCAGGTTGTTTCCGTTCACACACGACAAGTTATCTCAGTTACTGAGCTCGGACCGGTCTCGGCTCAGTTTTTTAAGGGTAGTGTAAACGGGGTATTATACAGACAAGGCCTTGTATCGCTTGGAAACATGCAAAATAGAAACCGTTGAGTGGGTCGTTTGGTTCCATTGTTAGCCTGTAATATCTGAAACCTGTCTATGATTGTTAAGGGTCGGTCGTTAAGGAGGTATTGTTCACCGGCTGGAGCTGATAGGTGCTTTGTTCCTCTGTGATGGGGTGGGGGGTGTGGTGATATCTGGAAGGGATCATCTCTGAATTATAAGTTTTTGGTCCACCACCTCTGTTTAAAATTGTTTTTTCTCTCTTAACATAGATGGCTTCCTTCACGCCCCTCTCAAACCACCTATTTTCTTTATCCAGAATGTGAATGTTCTTGTCCTCAAAAGAATGTCCTTTGTCCACAAGGTGTAGGTGTACTGCGGAGTCTTGTCCAGAGGAGGCCGCTCTTCTATTTTGGGCCATGCTTTTTTGGAGAGATTGTTTGGTTTCTCCAATATAAAGATCAGAGCATTCCTCCCTGCACTGAACATCATATACCACTCCGCTCATATTCAGTCTGGGGGTTTGATCTTTTTTATCTCCAAACACAAAATCCCAGTACATTTCAAGCCAAACCCTTAAACAGAGGCTAGTGCATCCTAAAGATAAAACCGGTGAACAATACCTCCTTAATGACCGACCCTTAACAATCATAGACCAGTTTCAGATATTACAGGCTAACAATGGAACCAAACGACCCATTCATCGGTTTCCATTTGCATGTTTCCAAGCAATACAAGGCATTGTCTATATAAGACTCAAACTCACTGCGGATCTAGACATTTGAATTAAGAAAGCGTCCTGGAGAGGTGGTGAAATGTCTTCAAATCTTGGAAGCCAAGTCCAGTGGATATTCTTTTGAACTTTTACGGAATAGGTGAATATGTCATCTAGTGCCTTTTAGGACCAATAGTCACTTTTCTCAAGGAGTTGGCAACGCCACATCGGGGTTTGCATCTCCTAGCCGCAGCAACAAAAACACCAGACTCTTCAGCCAACTCTCTCCTCTTCCTCCATTCCATTCTCCTTATCTTCATCACCTATTGTGATTTCTACATTGTCATTAATTTCAGGTTTAACGATACTTATACCCAGTAGTCAAGTGGGATGGTGGATTTTTTTTTTGGAAGCTTACTTAGCCTAATTAATATAGTCTATTAACCTAAAGCAATGTGCATGGAATGGTTGTTACATGTCAGGTACGCCGGTCATTGACCTTGACCAAGGCACCTTACAGTAGAACTGCAGTAGGTCCCTGAACTGGCCTGGTTATCACTCCCCCTACATATTTAGGGACTAATTTCCCACTGGGATCAGCTTCATAGTCATGGTACGACACTTCTTTGATTTGATTTATTAAGCCCACATAATGTTGAAAGGGCAATATTATTACCATTACTGTTAATATTTAGTAGAAATTTTACACATTCATTAATAAAATGTCACAGGGGATGGTATGGACACATGGTCATTTAAGGAGGGGGATGATTTGAAAGATTTTTTTGAAGAAGGGGGATGCCATCCCCCCTCATTTACCCTCATCCCCCCTCAACTGGAGTACTTCTTTTACCTGTTTTGACTGGACAGAGGTAGCGCCACTGGACGCCATGTATCGTCACATAAACAACATTGAAATGTTGATATTTTATTTGAATGTATTGAAAATAAACTGTATTTTTACTTCATTGTATTTCCATCAAAATAAGTGTTTATCAAATAAACTCTGTTGTCAAAGTTTGTGGATCCCTTTAAGAATCCAACGGTTTTTATCTTTCTGATCAAAGACCTCCAAATGTCTCAAACTTTAAATGTAGAAGGAACAAAAACTGGACTGTGAACACCGCTGCTCATCTTGATAGGGAGCAGATTTGGTGGAAATGTTAGATCATTATGAGGTATTTAAAATGTGTTGCATTGAATATCTTAACAAACTCTGCTGCATTGGAGAAGAAACACTGTTTTAATAGTTTCAAATGAAACTGGAATTCAACTTTTTATTTTGTGTCGCAGTGTTGTCTGGTCTGAGCTGTGCTGAGGTCTGCCACTGTGTCGGACATTTTTTTTTTAAGACTGGTCTTTTCTTGTTTCCCTGGAGGTCAGGTTGCCAAACTGTTCCATGATTCTAGCCTGGGGAATGCAGTCAACGTGGTGGTGACACGGCTCATCCTGCTCATGGAAGACCAGGTCGGTTCGCAGCTGTATGTCTCTCTCTGTGCTTGTTCTCATAAATCTCTGACCTGCGTAAATTATTGGCTTAAGTGTTGTTTCCTCCGCCCCACCCAGCAGACTGTGTGTGTGAGAGCAGCTTTTATGAATGGCTGCTGTAATGACAGAAATGAGAGGATGTTAGGAAGGTAAGTAGAGGGAGAGATGATTGAACGGAGGCGGAAAAAAACAAGCAATGAGGGGAGTTTTGTACGTGTTGCACAGAGCCGCCTTGTGACTGTCGTGTGTGTTTCTGCGGTAAACAGGGACCTCTCTGATGATTGCTATGACACCTTTCCAAGAGGTAGAAAATCCAAAGCATGGATTTAAACAGTTATTTAAAAACTGATTTATATGTAACAGCAATTTCATATTTCTTTCTATTTTGCCTTCAAGCTAACAGCTTTATATTCCATATAATCGTTTAGTGGTTCTAGTTACAATAAAGAGAGTTTTGCAAAGAGATGACTCTGAATTATTGAATACTATTTTACATCACAATTTCCAGGTGTAAATTTATGAAAAAAAATGTTAAAAACAACAATTGCCCTTCCTTTTTCCAACTGAAAAACATAAAACGTGTGGAGGTTTGCTTCTATAAGGTGAGGCGGTTCTGATAAGGTAACAATAGTGAAAAGTGAGCGCAAGCTTTTGCTTTGTTAGTTTTGATTAAAAACTATGAATAACACCAAAGAAAAAGTGTTCATGTTCGTCCATCCCGCTACAGATACACAAGAAGCACTGAAACAGCCTCAGCTTGCATGGCTGCAGACTCTCCTATGATGTAAGATGCAGATCAGAGGCCAGAGTCCCCACCTGACCACAGGGCAGGAGTTCAGCTCATAAAAAGTCCATGACCTTACCAGCTTAGCTCGAGCGATGACCAAACCACCTGCCTGGCTTTCAAATGACTGTATTAGCTCAACATTAACGGCATGTGGTTAACAGACAGTTGCTACGGGTATTACGGCGTGGCTTTGAGGTTTCCTCCTTAGCTGCCTTTAAGGAACATTTCTAATTCATAGTGGCTCAAAATAAGCTCTGGAGCTTACCGCCCGGATGTGTTTGTTATCTGAATGAGCGAACATGTAAATGTTAGTCTCATTAGCGGTATTCTCTATTAGTTTTACCGTAACTCCACTAAAGGGGAGCAGATACTTCATGCGGTTTTTCGAATCCGAAATGAAAGTCAAAGCTGTGCCTGAAAAGAAAAACGATGCCATGAGTGGGTCCAGAAATGGGGGGACTGTGGGATGAGACAATTACCAGTTATGTCACCACATGCATTCCTGGGTTACGAGTTCTCGCCAGCTGCGGTCTGCAGAACACTCCCTGAGCTCCCACATAATGTGGTAAATCTACACAGTTTTAACAGATAGGAAAGACTAGCATAGTGTGAGAGGAAAAATAACCTCAGAGCAGGGCAACTGTTTTGCATTTAAAGAAACAAATGCATAACTTTATTTTTCCAGACATGCATCGAAGTTTACATATCCCTTTTTTCTGCTCTTCCAGCCAACACTGGAGATCAACCACCATGCAGGGAAGTCTTTGGACAGTTTCTGTAAGTGGCAGAAAACCATCCAGCACCGCAGCAGCAGCTATGGGAACGCCATCCCGGACAATGGCATTGCTCACCATGACACAGCTGTACTTATCACCAGGTAACGAAAGATAAAGATGCAGATTTTCATAAAGAAGTTTTACGTGATTTTCTCAGATTATCAAACTGATTCCTCAGAGAAAAAACCCAAGTAAATAGAAAAAGCATTTTACAAATAATCAGTTCTTTTAAAGGTCATTTTATAATCATTTTATATCCCTCCAGCAAAAAGACAAGTTAAAACTGATCAAATAAGGCTTTATTCTTCAAGCAACAATCTTAAGCATGTTTTGATCGTCAATTTTGAGCCTAAATAGAACCCCAGCAACGGGAGCAATGAGCTGAGCTAAACAGACGTTGCGCCATTTATTGTTAGTACTGCTAAACTACCAGAAAGCCAGGTGATGGCCTTTGATGCGGCTACTAAATACGCGCTGACTGGGATGTAACGCCTCATGGAAAACCAACAGGGTGGAGGATAGCGCTTGAAAGCATTGCTAACAGCAGTGGCACTATTAACAAAGACATGTACTCTCATATCTATCAACTTCACAACTTTTTCAATTTTTGCAACTATGCTAGGAGTTCCACACTCACTCATCTTTATTGCTCTGGCTTGTTGACCAATTGTACACATGCGCAGGGATTTAATCCCAGTCACATGATGTTGTTATAGTTAATATAGACAGAAAGCATATAGTTAACTACAAATTGAGCAAAGACGAAAAGACAATAATAGCAAATGCTACGCAAGTAGGATACTGTAATTTGTCATAGAAAATTTGTATGTAACCAGAGTGAGTTACTGGCATATACATTTTAAAAAATATAGGCACTCAGTGAAATACTTTGAAAATCAACATTTCAAGCCTGTAGTGTTATTGAAATCCAGGACAAGACCTTATTACTTTTCTAACATTCAAAAAATATGGATATTTTGATGGGAAAAATCAATATCAATGTAATAACCAGAAACGCCAACTTACCCCAATATATTAAGAAAAGTAACAAAAGTGCTTCTATAAGAAATTCATGAAAAAAACTCTGAGAGTTAAAGAAACACATTTTTTTTGTACAAAATAACCTTAGAGGCATTAATGCTGATACTGGCACTTACATTTTTTTAGTTTATAAACCTAAATATAATTGTTAACTAGGCTTTTTAACTTTTTCAATTTACTTTTTAACTTTTCAATTAGCTTTTTAACTTTTTTTTTTCTTTTTTTCCAACTTAATTTACAGTAGGTAATATATCATTCAAGGTCATTGGTCAATTGCCAAAATAAGTTGTACAGCCATGTAGCAGTATATTTGCTGAATGGCTGGATATAGATCTTGTGCTTGTAGACCTCACTGAGGGACGGGGTGGGCTTTTTTTTTTTACTCAATACATTCCAGTTACTGTTTTTGTCCGATCAAAAACAGTAACTGGCCTGATTAAAGGGTTAAACATTTGACAACATGACGCTTTGCATTGCCTCGTTAATTTGCTCCAGTGGATGGGATGTCTTTTTTGTTGGGTTTTTTTTTACATCAAAAAGTTTGCTAAAAATTCTTATGAAATTTGAATGAAACAAAGCTTACTACAGCATTTTAAAGAACAAACACCTTAACCATAATGAAAGATGTTTATGATGGTGGTGTGATGGGATGGACCTAGCTTTGTGAGACCATCCTGATCTCGCGAGCTTTCAAGGTTTCACTCGCAGATCAGTCTGGAGACTCTCTGTTAAAGAAAATTTGGAGCAGTTCACCAAACGAACATCCAATCAGCGTTGGCTTTGAGGCGGGTTGAGGTGTGACGCAACGAGAAGCACGATCGTTCAGTCTAAAGAACATGGCGGCTTCAGCCAATGAAACTAGCGTTAGCGTGGCTATCGAGCAAGTTTTATCGGAATTACAGAGTATTTCTTCACTGAAAGAAGAGCAAAACACTGTTCTGGAGGCTTTTCTCAGAGGAAAAGATGTTTTTGCTCTTCTCCCGACTGGCAGGAGTTTGATCTATCAATTGGCTCCTCTTCATCGTCGCTCTGTTACGTCATATGCTTCGTTGATCTGATTGGTTTATTTGGCCCGTCTATCACCAACATAGGCCAATCAGCTAACCAGTATTTTCGCCCCTTCCCGAAATTACTTCAAAAGAGGGTTTCCAGATGGATATGCGGAGCAAATCCATCTGGCGGAGTCAGGTTAGGATGGACCTGTACAGCTTGGCGGATTTGATGGAATCACACATTCTTTACACGAATTTCCAAAAGAAGAATCTATAGCCAGTAGGTTGTTACTTCCCTTACCACAGGCAGACAACCTGTCCAGAGGGTGCCATGCCGTTCACACATAGACTGCTGGAAATAGGCTCTAGCCCTAACAGAGGCACTTACAATCTTTAAAAAAACATCCATCTGCCAGTCTGTCTCCGGCAGTTGTCTGTAGCATGTCAACAGTCCATCACAGGGAAAGCAGAGACCCAAAAGAAAAAAAAAAGCAAACACTCATACCAAGTCAGGTTTTTGAACTGTGAGAAGAGGCCAGAGAAACCCACGCATACATGAGGACATGCAGAGCCAGAGACAGCATTCCAACCAAGAATGTAAATTGGATTTGTGAGAAAAGTTACCCATCATTCCACTTTGTGGGAACAGCTTTGTTTTTGCAGCAGAGTTTATCAAGCCGTCCAGACAGATGACACCTCAGTGACGATCTATGGCTTCCGTCTATTGTTCTTCTGAATCTTAATCAGTCTGTCCTGAGTGCTAACTGCTGTGAATATGCTGCACACTGATCAAGCATAACATTTTAACTGGAATTAGCAACCTAACTTAAACCACTTTAAAAGTGGTTGTCCCTTTTGTCAGTTTTTATTTTTTCCAGATGTAAAAACACCAATTATGACCAACTTAGACAAGTTGCTACTGCAGAACTACAGGCGTATCACCAACCTTCCCTTCATCGGTCAGATTATTTAAAAAGCTGTTTTTCAGCACCTTCATAACAATGACCAGCTGCTTTGATGTCTTCAGTTCTGGCTTTATTGCTCACCACAGTGCAGAGCCTATCCTTGTCAAGATGTTAAATGATATCTTAATGAATGCAGATTGCGGAAGAACCAGTGTGTTGTTATTATGGACCTAAGTGCAGAGTTTGACACGGTTGATCACTTGGTTTTATTAAAGCGCCTGGAAAACTGCGTCAGTCTTTCAAACCACAAAGATCACATCTGATGATGTCCAGGGCCCATCTTAGGGTCCCTCTATTCAATATCTAGATGCTCCCCCAGACTCAGATGCTTATAAACAAGGAAATAAGTTACCTTAACTATGCATAAATATAGTATTTTGTGACTGTGCTTTGTATTGTATGTTTTTAATCTGGAAGCCAGGAAGACTAGTTGTTTGCCATGGCAACAGCTAATGGAGATGCTTAATAAAATTACCAAAATTACCAAATCAAGAGATTAAAGCAAGGGAGATGTGCAGCTGCTGTTTCAGACAAGGTTGCTGAGGGAGGAAGACTAATGACCAGAGTGATCTGAGTCGGGACACAGAGAAACTGCCAAACAATGGAAGCAGAGATGAAAAGTGATACTTTAACTAGTAAATAAAAAATAAACTAAAATACTGATCGAACTGTAAAACTTAAAATTGACACCATCAATTGACATACAAACACCTCAGGACCCCGAGAGCTGCTTTAAGTTGTGTGCTGACACTTAAACTTGGTTTAAGTCACAAACAGTTCCGTCAATCTGCATCGTCTCCAAAGTGTTTACAGTTAATCGTGCAAATAATTATTTTTTTCTTTTTTAAATGTTCAGTCTTTTCTTTGTGTTTCATGACTTTGTTTATATGACTCTTCCAGTTTCATTACAGCTGTTGTATTCACGTCTTACTGTTTGTAAATATTTATATTGCTTCTATTATGTTTCTGTAAATGATTTTTGGGTGAATCTGTTCCAGTGGTCTTTTCTTTTCCTTGTTTGACAACATTATCAAACCCAGGTCAGTTATTTTGTTATTGCTCATTTCTCCAACAGGTGTCCGCTTTACTTGTTCCACACATTTCACTGATCTTAATTTGAATCAGAAAAGCGTATTTCCTTTAATCAGTCTAGTAGAAGAACATAAAAAACATAATTTTAAATGAAAAGTTGTGTGAACTAATATACCTAAGGCGGGTAATAAAACTATTGAAATGATGAATGATCAGCACCATCATCATATCTACATGAGTATTATAATATCTCTGTTAACTGCATCAAATGTGTGCCTTTAGATAACATGTTCTCCCTTGCTTGCAGGTACGACATCTGCATCCAGAAAAACAAGCCCTGTGAAACTTTAGGTAACATTCACTCACACAGATGTGCGATCTACACTAATCTACAATGCTCACTGACTTTAAGCACTCGCTGTGCGTCCAGCGGGAGTTAATAGTGAACACTTAAGCTAAACATGAGCCTAGCTGTAACTCGTCTGGGGAAGTCATATTTAAATGTCAAATCATTCTGGCTTAAACATGTAAATAAAAGTACTCTTTATCAGACGATATTGTCCCAAAAGATAGAAAATTTCTATTTAAAAAAATATCCTGTCTTAACATCAGTGTTTTTTTTCCCCCCTGTTATCTTATGCAGGCCAGTTAGTTATATGTCAGCTTGTACACCTAAATTGGTCAACTGTCAATCAAATATCTTCGTTCATAGAATTTTGATTCATATGTCGCAGCTAAGATAAGCAACGGCTGAAATAAGAAATAAGATGCGTTTACTTTCCCATTGAGTTTCATCCCAGTGTTCACTGGGATGGATGTCTGTGTCTTCAGCAGGCGTAGAGCTAACAGAACTGGCAGCTTTGCGAGGCAAGGGCTCAAACATGTACGGCTGTAAACCTTCTACACCAAACCAAGCTCTTGCCGCCCTAGCGTCCTCTTCCACAACATCTTTGTCCCCGCTTTCCTCCTCTAAATAAAAAATGTATGACGAGGAGACTCATCCATGACCTCCGACACAAAACTCTCCACCTCTTGCATGTTTCCGCTGTCCATAGCGTTCCTTGACAGTGTCGTTTCTCAGTCACCAATTTAGTGCTACTTGGTCCCAATGGAATTTCCCATTGGGAACCTACTACCACTAACGTGCTAACTGGTTAGCAAGATGCTGCCGAGATACCAGCCACAACCAAACTTGCTTGCAAACTTTCCGCCACAACAATCCCGCCGTCTTGATAATTGACCTCTGATTCAGACCAATCACATTCACAAAGTAATTTCCCTCTGGGATTATAAGTATTTCTGATTCTGATTCTGACATTCACTTTATTCACTCGTGTAAAGTCGGGCACCACTCGGGAGAATTTAAAAATGCAACGGTTGGAACAGCTGCTTCCCTACGACTTTAAAGATCGCAAAGTTCTACTCGAGTTAAAACATACTTTGGTCTCTCAAGTGGTCTTTAAGTTTGAATGTAAGAAGGTATTAGATCAAAGAGCTGCCTAAAGTACACACAAGTAAAAAATACTGTTACAAGCAGTTGTATTGAAAATACTCGTACGTGAACTAATCTCCATGGTCATTTTGAATGTTATGTGTTAAGCTTCAATACAATGAGACCCCCAATATGTCAGTTTGTGCAGGCGTTTTCTCTTGCTTTTTATGTGCCTTTAGATTCTTTCCTACTCCCATGTTTACCTGTTAGTGTGCGCTCATGTTAACTTTTGTCACTTTAAGGGTGGAACCAACCTGAGCAAGCAAACTGGCTTTTATTGGATGCCTTTCAGGACATCCTGTCTCATGAGATGGTACAGTTTTCTACTTGGCTGTGGCTAGTAATTCAGTCAGTGCCTGATCCGTCCCGGAAGCACGATCAGTACCGTCAGCTCATTTGCGCATGCGCAACCAGATATACATCCGGGTTTCCATAACTCATGTAATTATGGTTCTAAAATTACTTATTTCTATCCTTAACTCACTAAAGAACCATAATACACACATTTAAAAAAATGTTTTATAATTTTTCTGAGAAAATTTTTAAACTTTTTACATATGATTAAGCCATGTTTAGCTACATTTAAGTTGTTTCTGTCTTTAGATTACACACTATATACCATACAGTTAACAGCTCAAAAAGGCTAGATTTATGTTAAATTGATGTGTGTGTGTATATATGAAGGACTACATACTACTTGAATGTAAAATAATTGCCATCATGGCTTTGTCAAGCTGCTGCCTACCTTTGTGAAGCAGGAAAAAGACTAATACAAAGTGAATCCAGTAGAACTTTTTATTGCCTTCCTGGAATGGGTGACAATGGTTGAATAAACTTTTGGCTCTCAAAATGGTATCGGTGCCCTATTTGTTGGTACTCGCTGATACCGATACCACCATTTTAGTGCTGGATCGGGGCCCCGCCTCTTACGGTATCAGTATCGGTGCATCACTACACTTAACCAATTTTTCACTTTTTGAGAGAAAAGCGATTAGCCTAAAGATGCTTTACTAACGTTAATAAATGCAAATAGGGAGAAAACTGCTTTGTCTCAAGAGGTAAGATTGCTCGCTAAGTATCCAATCACTGGAAGTTTACTTTCTCATTTGTTTCCTCCCTCAATGAGAGAAAAGTTGACCATGGAGCATAGAGACAGGTCCACACGCGAATAGAAGAGAATCTACAGTCACATTAAAAGCAGTGCAGAGAAGAAGCATTAAGTCATGCTTGGGATATAGCCTATCAGGGGCATCATGGTATTAAATCTACATGCATAGAGTGTTCAAAGTTTTTGTGGAAGTAGTTTTTGCGCTTTAAATAAAACTGCTTGTATCAGTATTCATTGCACACGTGCACTTATGGCAGAATTCTGACTTCATAAAAAGGCATAAATGATCTATGGCTGAAAATAACTGGATAGGATATGGTGTTGCTGAAATGCATCAATAACGACGAAAACAATGTTATATATTGAAATGTGCTGTATTGTAATTTGCTTGTTCAGCCATCAAGTGGCAGTCCGAGTAAGATTGTGTGTGGTTGACAGGGCTGGCCCCTGTGGGTGGGATGTGTGAACCAGAGAGGAGTTGCAGCATCAACGAAGACATCGGCCTGGGGACGGCCTTCACCATCGCCCATGAGATGGGTCATACGTAAGTCTCACTTAAATACAGATCTGGTAGTATCGTTTTATTCTGTGTGTGGACACAAATCTTTAGCACCTTAAGAAAATGGCTATATTTGCAGCTATATGTCAGATCCCTCTTACAGTCTTAGTCTATCTTTATTCTTTCATGATAATCTTTTAGGACCATGGAAAATTACAGCAAACAGTGGGTGTAAGTGGTGTACACTAACAGCCAGTGGTTCAATTCAGCCACTTTATACGTTTTTCAGGTGTTAAAAGTCCTGTTTAAGATCATCTCAAAGCACCTTAATTCTAATTAAATGAAGACTTTGACTTGGTCATAACCTTATTCACTTCAGTCCCAGACCTTTCTTTTTGAGATCAAAGAAACGGCACTTTATGAGCTTTTTAAAGCTTCTTGAAACATCTAAAGCTTTCTTCTTGACCCGTTTGCTGATTTTAATTATGTTTTAATACATAAAAAAATACAGTGTTCACCAGTCAAATAGGTCATAATACAACGGGCAGAATAACAGGCAGTAAAACTACGCCAGAATCCAGAGTAAAATAAAGAAACCAGCAAAAGTGTTGAAAGTATTCTATTACTCAAGTAAAAGTATAAATCCTAAAACCACTTTTGTAGAAGACTATGAACTGAATCTTTTTACTCAAGTAAAAGTGTAAAAGTACCATTTTCAGAACTATTTGAAGTGTAAAAGTCGGGTAGAAGGGCAGATGCTTTAAACCTCATTCTGGTTGTTGCACTATCCTATTAAAGGAACGTTTTTCTTCAGTTCAGGATGATAACTTCCTTATACTTCATTTTCTTAGTTTTATAACTAATGGTAACTAGCCTGGGTGCCATTCCGAACTTAGTCCCGCCCACAACGTTTGAGTTCGGGGAAGTTCGGTCTGGCTCTGCTCCATAGTACCGCGAGTATTATCGCCCACTGTCAGGCGATCCAATCAAATTGTCAGGGCGGGCTTTATACGATGATGGACAGATGACCAACAGTAACGTAATCAACCACGTGACCAATGCACGCTTGGGTGACAACAATCATGGCTGCCGCTGGAGAGTTGAGGTGAGTAGATTCTGCTATTAGGTCTGTTCTAGAAGATATCGACAGCAAATTAATTTTAAAAGAGGAACAGAGAAACGCGATCAAGGCTCATCTTCTTATTCTAGGCGTGAAACTGCACGCTTTGATTTTTGTGGACAACAACTATGCCTCACTTAACATACGTCACGCACTCCGTTGCTCTTATTGGTTGTAGGTCTATCCAATTGAGTGCAGAGGCATTTTTTTCCCTGGTTCGTTCGAAACACGCCCCATAATCACAGCTCTATGGAGAAGTATCAGACTCATATTTTGACTAGAATTGAGTCGGACTACGTCAGGCTAAATGGTAACAGGGTAATAAGTAACTTTGCATCCTTGTGAAAAACTACATTATTTGGTATGTAGAGCGCAACAGGTTGGTGTTGTACTGAGTCCAACCACAAAGACATCTGTGTCTGGATGAAAGAAATTAATTTTGATGTTTGTTTTTTTAAATATCAACAGTCCATAACAAGAATGAGTATAAATGAAACGAAAATAACGAGTCTATTTTTAAAATGTAAGGAGTAGAAAGTACAGATAATAGTAGAAGTAAAAATTTTTCTAAGACATAATTACTACATTAAAGGTTAGATAGTCAAAATTTCTAATTAGTAAGATAACAAAGTATTTTTTACTTTGTTACTTGACTCCTCGGGAAACCAGCAGAGAACAATGGAATCCTGTGAGCTTAAACACAGAGGTGTTGGATGGAGGGATTACAAAGCCAGTAAATCTAATTAGATTAAATGGTGAGTAGCTAAAGGAGGGAAACTAGTAATAAAAAAAAAGAGTTGAATAGAATAAGAAAGATACCAGAGAAGTTTATCTAAATCTAGAAGGAAAAAAAGTCACATGTGCAAAGAACACCAAAGAAATGAGGATACTAATAAACTGAGAAAGTCGAGACCTAAAGTACCGATCACACAGCAAGGAAACGGTCCAATTATACACACAAAGCAATAACAAAACCCAACACATCAAGGTCGTGACATTTTTGTGCTTTAATGTCATCTAAAAAACACAGCAGGCCTTCGTAGAACATCTGTTTTTATTCCTCATTAATTTGGTTTGAAAAGTAACTGACTGATTTCTTTGAGGTATCCAAGTAAAATACAATTTAGTGCCAAACGTTTCAGATTTTTTTCATCAGTAAATAAATTGTTTCTTTCAACTTTTTTGTTAGTCTATCTTACGACAGCACTATAGAAATAGTGTTTTTAATGTTTCAAATGTGATGAATTACAAAGAATAGCTTTCCAGGCCAATAATAAGTGTGTCCCTGGTTTGATGTCCAAAGTAGGACAGATTCTCATTATGCTTTTAAAAAGTCTGGTCAGTCAGGGTTGGTACAGTGACAATCTTTAAATTGCTTGTTTTTCCGAGTCCCTCTTGGTTACCACTAAGAGCATTTTTTCGACTGCTGTCTGTAGCTGTTGCAGTGATTATTACAAGTCCACATGGCCTCAAAGTGTTGTCACTGTGTCATCACGGGCTCTAGGTTTGGGATGAACCATGACGGGATGGGGAACGCCTGTGGACCGCGGAGCCAGGAGACCGCCAAGCTGATGGCTGACCACATCACCATGAAGACAAACCCGTTCATCTGGTCGGCCTGCAGCCGCGATTACATCACCAGTTTCCTGGAGTGAGTTAGACAATGACTATCTCCAACCTTCAAATAAATGGCAGAAAAAAACTATTTGATGGTTTGAGAAAAATCTTTGCAGCAGGCCAGTTCTTTTTCCTCCCAACCTGCCTTTAATAAAATCTTTAAATCTGGACCAAACAATGAAAGATTGGAATTTGTTGATCTAAAATCTTCTTTTTTTTCTCTCTCCTCTGTTTGACCTGCTTCAGCTCAGGTCTGGGCTCCTGTCTGAACAACGTTCCCCCTAAGCAGGAGTTTGCGTACCCCACCACAGCACCAGGTCAAGCCTATGATGCAGATGAGCAGTGCCGCTTCCAGTATGGCGTCAGATCCAGACAGTGCAAATATGCGGTAAGCAAAAAACATATCTAGTGTTATGCATTATTTTTGGGACGTTTTCAATTTTCTAACCCAGCCTAGTGTAACCAGAGTGCTCAATAGGGAAAATCTTTTTTTTTTTTGAAGAAAGAAAACAATAAAACAAAAAATGATTATAAAAGTCTTATTTTTTTTATGTCAGCAATTTAACATCAAAGACCACAAATATTCCATTTGTTGTTCCCAAGGCGTCCATTTTGGGGTCCCTCCTATTCATTATCTACATTCTCCCTCTAATTTAGCTTATAATAAATAACAGCATTTATCAAAACTATGCAGACAACACAAAGTTGTACTTTACAATGTCACCAGGTGACGATGAACCCATTAAATTGCTGCATGGAAGAAATTAACACATGGAGGTTCCAAATTTTTTTTAAGCTGAATCAAAACAAATATGAAGCAGTATTTTTTGGGCAAAAGAAAGATCGATATGAAGTTAGTAAATAGATTCAGTGGATCCCACTAGAAACAACAATCTGGCTCTAAATCTCTGAGTAGTAATGGACTCAGTCCTAAAACTTCAAATGCTCATAGAGACAGGAGCAAAGTCGACCTTCTATCACCTAAAGAAGATCTGCAGGATTTAAAGGGTTAATCTCTCAGCAGGACCCTGAAAAGCTAATTCACGTGTTCATCTTTAATATAATTGATTCCAGCAGCACTGTCTTCACATGTCTGCCTAAAAATCCAACAGACAGCTACAGTTGATCCAGGTTGCTGCTGCCTGCATCCTCACTAAAACATAGAAAGTCGAGATCATCAGCGCAGTTCTAAAATCTTTCCTCTAGCTCCACATTTCTCAGAGAATAGACTTTAAAATACTTCATTTATTCTGTAAGTCACTGAAAGCCTTAGCACCCAAATAAATTAGACAATTGTCAGTGTTTCAACCCACAAGACCACTCAGGTATTCTATAATGTACATTTTGTTCCATTATTGTTAAAACCAAATCACAAGGTTTTTTTTTAATGGAAGTGTGAAAAAAAAATAAAAAACAAAAACAATTGTGATAGAGAAATCTAACTATGAGAAAAGTTTAATTAAAAATAGGACTTTGACAGGAGTGTTGTTTCTTTTGTTAATGCTTTTGAATTTTATTTTTTTAAATGGTTTTTCTCAGTTTCAGATTTTATATTTTTTTATTTCTCTTGTTTATATTGAGCAAATTTCACCATTTTCAAATAGCATATGATTACTCTGCAATTGCAGACATTAAAAAAAATAATAATATAATAATTAAATATTAAATCTGTAAATGAAAATTTTTGAAAAAACTTCTTATGCAGTTTTTATTTCTAATGCTCCACTAATCTAGAACAAAATCCCAAAATACTTTAAAAACTGAAACCCTAAGATGCTTTAAATCAAGTTAAAAAGTTTAGAGTGGCCGCTGACTGTGCTGTCTAAACATTATTAGTTTGAGTTTTTTTTCCAAACATTATTTTGTTGTGCTTATTATTCTTTTTTATAATTGGATCATTGTAATTATATATATTTTTTCTTTTAAATGATTCAGTCTATTCATTACTTATTTGACCTTTAAGCCACTAAAATCTGCTTTTTCTATTATGTATTATTCATTTAATGCTTGTGAAATGTGCAGTATAAAAATCTGTACATTGCCTTGAAGAAAACGGTAATTGCATTTAAGTTTTATTTTATACCTTTAATTAAGAATGAACATAGTATGCATGCAAAACCTCATATCTTTTTTTATCTTTTTGTAGGGGTCTCATGAAACAGTCCCATGTTCTAAAATATTACACTTGGTTTCACTAAATGTAAGAAATAATAACCAAAATAGTCAGAAACAGACACTTTAATAATAGATGGGTGTGCGCATATTGAAATAATGTCAAATCTAGTTTTCAGCTTTTGTTTTGTTTTGTCTTATTAGATGTTATGGTGTGTAAAAAACTTTGGCTTCCTGATTTGTATTTCAAGCTGCTATAAAGTAATTCAATTCAATTCAGTTTATTTATATAGCGCCAATTCACAACACACGTCATCTCAAGGCACTTTACAGCTCACCAGATCATACAGTCAAACTGATTCAAAGTTATCTCATTGACTCGAATACAATCCCTCACACTAAGCATGCTTGTAGCGACAGTGGAGAGGAAAAACTCCCTTTTAAAAAGAAGAAACCTCCAGCAGAACCAGGCTCAGTGTGAGTTGCCATCTGCTGAGGTTGACTGGGGTTTAAGGAGAGAGAAGCAGAGATACAAAAAGCAAATGTAGAGGCAGCCCCGTCCAGGAAACATACAGCCAGGAAGACGATGTCAGCCAATCCCACGTCAGATGATGAAGCGAGCACATCCAGCCACTCGCAGTCAGAGAAACAGGACTACACTGAAAAACAAGCCAATCTCCAACACCTATAAACAAAGGTGTTGATGGCAGCAGCACAGCCAATATTTCTCTCCAGGATGGTGTCACAGCCAAACAGGAACAGACAAGCTAACATTAGAAAAAAAAAAAGAGAAGGCATAACGTTAGAGATTAAACATACAGATTCTGCAGTGTGGGATAATAGAGATAGAATGAAGCAGAATTATGAAACAGAAAGTAAATACATTTCTAATGACATTCTAGTCTACTGGGATTAGGTTGCATAAATTCCACACAAACTTGTAATTTTTGCTTCATATAATGCTTTTAAGAGGAGAGTACTGCAAATATGCCCTAATTCCCTTTGCTTATTGTAAGTTCCAGTGATGGGCAGTAGCGCCGCTACATGTAGCGAAGCTATTAGTTTAACTACATGTTCCAGTAGCTTGACCGTAGCGTCGCTGCTTTATTTATCAAGTAACTTTCCTGTAGTGACCTTATTGCTTTGATCAAGTAGCGACGTAGCGTCCACAAACGCTACAAAATCCAGGGCATAACTAAGTAATGAAACCAGGTTTTCTATTTTGAAACAACAATCAGCCACAAAACTACTGTAAATAGCAGTTTCAGCTGACGCTCTTATCAGTGGCGTAGTAGCACAGGCACACTCAGTAAGGTTAAACAAGCGCACCCTTTCCGAGTCTGTCTTTCTATTGGCTGGAAAGGTTGCTAGGCGACGATCCAACTGCAGCCTGAGAGTGAGCAAAAAATCCGCAAGCAGGGCCTACGGGTTTGCGAGCATATCTGAGACCCGAGCAGAGCGCGGTTTGTGCGCAAAGAGAATGAGGCAAACAAGAGGAGAAAATATCTGTGCAAGAAGCATTAAATCTGAGAGAAGAAACAAAGTTTTGAGAGAGAAGAGAAAATATTTGAGAGAGAGCGCATGTTTGGAGTGTGAGCATTATAAGTTTTGAGTGCAAGAAGATGAAATTCTTTTCTCAAATTGAAATTATGTGCTCTTCCATATGTGCCACTAAGATACTCTAATTAGAGAGCAGTAGTGAAACTTCGATATTGTATTTTCATGGCCTAGTTTACAGGATGTTTACATAAATCTGTTTTTAGGCTTTGCACAGATAAGATTTCTTACGTATGGAGGAACAGCTCTCCCGTATATAAAATAAATAAATAAATGCTCAATAAATAAATAAGCATTTAATTAATTGCCCCCAAAAATACAATGAATAAATATGTAGGTAGAAATTAAATAATATGGTGAGACATATATATATATATATATATATATATATATATATATATATATATATATATATATATATATATATATATATATATATATATATATATATATAACTTAATTAGCTTCTTTATTTTTTCACCTTTTTTGTAAACAGTTTCATTTGTTACTTGAATCGACTGTTTAATTGAGGTCTGAAGAAGTTTTCTCTAAGGGAAACCCTAAAGAAATAAGATGCCTTTTGTAGGGTTTTGTTTTCCCTAGAGATAACCATCTAATGCAAACTCATAGCCATGTCTCCATGTGTAGAACACTACACAGTACCTTTCATTTGGTTCTAATAACAGCAGATTGTTTACTAGTTTGTCTACTAGTAATTACTTCAGTTTTTTTTTAATATGCTGATCATAAAGCAATGTTTACACTGTGTTATGTCATTGGCTGATCTTTAATAAATGTTTTAACCAGTGTTTCAGACTCATTTTGAATTGATATTAGGTTGGTACAACGTTAAGTAGCTTCTGATGTAGTTAAGCTACTTTTAACACATTAGTGTAACTTAGCTTGCTATAATTCTTTAGGTGGTAGCTTTGGTGTAGTGAAGCTTCATTTATTGCTGAGTAACTGATAGCTTAGCTCACTACACTGGACAAGTAGCTTGCCCAACACTGGTAAGTTCTTCTGACTCATTAAAAGTTAATGAAAAGTGTTCATTAAAAGTAACTCAAGCCCACTCTGTTTTCGCTGCTCACTCTTCGTTTATTTTGCACCTCTTTTTACCTGTATCCCTGTGATACAACACATCTTGCAGTACTTTACTAGGACAGCCTTCTTTTTATTGCATGGTCAGGTTTTTACGAGGCCGCCGTCAGAGCAAACGGACATCTGGAGCGGCGTGCGGCTTCATAGACTCATTATTATAGGTTCTATGTTGTCAGCGCATGTACATAATAAAAATATACACTTAAGTGTTGACTGCTCCAGAGGGAAGAGAGGTTAAGGTGAATGACAGTTTCTGCCTGTTGATCATAAATAAGAATAATGTTTCTCGTACCGTTTGCCTTGTTTCTGTCTATGAAACTTCTACAATGGATTTAGTCTCCTCTCTCTGATACCTACAGGAGGTCTGCAGTGAACTGTGGTGCATGAGTAAAAGCAACCGCTGCATCACCAGCAGTATACCCGCTGCAGAGGGAACCATCTGCCAGACTAATACAATTGAGAAAGGGGTGAGCTCTGAAAATAATACTCCAATGTTTATGTATCTTAACCAAAGGGCTTGAAAGTTTAAGTCTTCATTTTGAAAAGCAAAATTGGATGAACAAGTTTTAATGTATTATTGATTTCCTCTGTGCATAGCCGGTGGCTACAGGCCTCCAAAGGTTCATGGATTAGTGAATCTAGCGTGAAAGAACTTCACAGGCCAGCGCAGCTGTGGAGTGATTTTTGTTCCATTATCGTTGCAAGCAAATAACACATTTTATTAATGGAGATATGAACAAAAAAATATTTTTTTTTTGCGTCTTACATGCCCATCAAACAGGGAATGTGAAAAAAAAGCAATCCAGATATAAATCTTTGAAAAATAGCATATAATAAAATAAAAGTCTTAATAAAAGTTTTAAGAGTAGCTTTGATGTTTTCATAATTTCCATTTTTTCAATATTTCTTTTTACAACGTGTTTTTTATATTGAAATTGTTTTTTGTTTCTTTTCTTTTTTTTTTTTTTTACTATTTTGGGATTTTTTTAAGCATGTTTAAGTTTGATTTTTTTTTCTTCTTTTTACAATTAATTTTGTTGTTTTTATAGATTTTATGTTTTCAAATTGCTGAAAATTGCTTCTTCTTGGTGTTACATTTCTCACATTTAAGCCAAAAAAAAAAAAAAAAAAGAGAGGCAAATGAGGGTGAACTTTGTTCAAGTTTTTGAGCGTTGCTACTTCTCTTCTGAGCAGGAAGTTAAATATATGTAAATAACATTAGTGGATCTAGCAAATGGCTGGTAAACATTACGGAATACAAGCTGGGGAGCACGAGTAAGCTGGGAGTTAACTTTAGCTATCACCTTTAAAATCGTCTGGATTTTGAAAAAAAACTAACTATAAAACTATAGAGAAGAAAATCTACATAGTTTGTTGTCAAAGTTCAATTTTGCATGATTGCGAGGGTCTGTCACATTTTAAGCATACACATCAATTGAAATTGATGAAAAAAAGACCCATTTGGTGAATCTATAGTAAAATATTGTGATGTTTCCTCAAGTCACTAAGGCGAAGAAGGCCCAAACTGTGACCATTGCACTAAAAACCAGTAAAGGAAAATCAGTAAATATGCCTTACATTTGTCTATCTGCTGCAGTGGTGCTTCAAAAGGGTGTGTGTTGCATATGGCACTCGTCCAGAGGGCGTGGATGGAGGCTGGGGTCTGTGGTCCGCCTGGGGGGAGTGCAGCAGGACCTGTGGAGGTGGAGTCTCCTCTTCTGTCCGTCATTGTGACAGCCCCAGGTGCAGATTTCTTTATTCCTATTGTGGTAAAGTAATTGACAGAAACTTAGGAAACAGTTGGCAAATTAGAGATTTGATTTTGAAGTTTTTAAGACTACAGAGTAACTGTAATAATACATGAATAAGATAACTTCAGTGAGCTGCAGGAGGGTTGAGCATAAGTTCTGTTTCTGCTGGAGGTTTCTCCCCCATTAAAAGGAAGTTTTTCCTCTCCACTGTCGCTACAAGCATGCTTAGTGTGAGAGATTGCCTTCGGGTCGATGAGTCAATGCAATCAACTGGTTTTCCTTAGATATAAAACTTTAAATCAATTTGACTGTATGATCTGGTGAACTGTAAAGTGCCTTGAGATGACGCGTAATGTGAATTGGCGCTATAGAAATAAACTGAATTGAAAGAAGAAATTCTGGAAGGAAATCTTTATCTCAAGACTAAAAAGTTGCCCATGCAATTTAGAGAAACACGAACATGTAAAATAAAAACAAAAAACAAACCAGGAAGTAAAGAAGACAAGCTCATCCACCCGAGACATGTTTTCATACATTTTGTTGTTGATTTTTGTTCCCTGTTTTAGTAATATTACTTGATCAAACCTTATGTAATATTCTACAGTGTCAAATAAATAATAAAAGCAGGTAAGAGTCATGCTAATATCATACCGGATCAATATCTGCAATTCTCAAAGCTGCATTATTTGTATGGTATCGTCATTAATCCTCTATTCATTTACGACTCTTTGCTGTGCATTTTGGGCTCCGTCAAAGAACAAGAAAAAAATGAAACTACTCTTTAGAGAGGCTATCGGTTTTAGACTGAGAGGCCTGACAGAGGTTCCCCTGCATTGAGTGTTGTTTATCAGCCTTTTAAACTCTTTCATTGTTTATGTTTCCCCAGTAGTGTTGAAACAAACCCCTGAGTATTGTTTCTTCAATAAAAGACCCTTCATACTTGCAGCAGTAGAGTCCAAATCCATGCAGAACGTCTAATCTTTTAAATCATTGTCACTGGACAGCTCATCTTGAAATGATTAAAGTAAGAAAGTCCTGACCCAAATCCAAGGCCAACAATTTTCTCCTGTTTCGTTTAAGACCATTGTTTTCCACATTTGCTCTGGGTTTACTTTGCCAAAATATGTCGAAAACGCAGGAAAAGCAGCCAGTTGCAAAACAAACTGATGAGTTTTTAGCATTTAGAAATATTCCCTTGTTGGCATACACTGTAGCTAAAGTAAAGTCTAATCAATGCACCTGAAAAAACGAAAATAAGGGCAAGAAAACGCTGAGCTTTGAATCTGTGCTGATGTAATGGATGATTGATGGAGTCAAACTCAGCTCATATGGGACGGACTGATCCAGCTGTGTGCTTCTTTGACCGTAGGCCAACCATTGGTGGAAAATACTGTCTGGGAGAAAGAAAACGCTTCAGGTCCTGTAATATTGATGTAAGTTTGGCTCAGTGTTTATCATCACTGCTATAAATGTGTCCTTACACGTTCGTCTATAGTACTCACATTCATTGAAATATGATTTACTTGCATACACTGTTTGAATGCATATAGTTATTTTAAATAATATGCCTATTTTTATAAAATACAGGAGTGTCCTGCAGGCTCCAGGGACTTCAGAGAGATCCAGTGCTCTGAGTTTGATAGCACTCCTTTCAGGGGGAAATTTTACACCTGGAAACCGTACAGAGGAGGTGAGGATGTATTTGTTTGGTTTCTGCTGAAGCTTAGTGGGATTTTCTATCTATCAATCATTGTAGCAGTGGATGCCCACTGTCTCTCTCTACACTTATAATGATTCATATAAATGAAAATTGTTTGATTTCCTTGTGTCTCTTTTTACTAATGAGACAAGAGGACACAAAGTTTCCCTCCGATGGATCTGTTTCCACCCAACTCTGCTCAGTTTATTTATTTAGCACCAATCAGTGTTATTTTCATCAACAATGACGAAATTATTCAGTTGATTCTCCTTTTTTTCATGAGGATAATGAGAACTGACAAGCTAAACATGAATCTTTGATGGCGAAGACATGATGAGTCATGGGTGTCAGTTCGTTGACAGGACGAGAAAAAAAATGTTATTGGGTGGTCTGTCACCGGTTTAAAATGCATCATTCTGCTGTAATCTACTAAGCAGTATCAGCCATGCTGCGTCCTGTTTGATCATGCCGCCCACCTGGCGTGCAGAGGTGCACATTCTACATGACTACAGGTGGACCATCGCAGCAGCAGCAGCAGGGATGGAAATAATCCGGAATCATCTGTATTATTTTCAAGATTATTTTCAAGCTTATTTTTAAGACTGACGAACTCTGCTCTAGGCTAAGGGTGATGGCCGCTCTGATCTGATGGCCCTCTGAGCCTGGTTCTGCTGGAGGTTTCTTCCTGTTAAAAGGGAGTTTTTTCTCTCCACTGTCACTACAAGCCTGCTTAATTTGAGGGATTAGATAGAAAACTTTGAATCAATTTGACTGGATGATCTGGTGAACTTTAAAGTGCCTTGAGATAAAATTTGTTGTGAATTGGCGCTATTCAAATAAACTGAATTTAATTGCTCTTCCAGCTGTGCTTGTGCAGAAATGCATCTTTGTGCGCTATTAGCTCCGAGTCAGGGCTTTACATTCCACAGTGATGGTTCGCTCTTAGCTGTATGGCTCTTCCTGCTCTCGCTACTTAATAAACTATATGTGGCTGATCATCCTCTGCCAAGCGTAAAAAATCCTTTTTTCTAACTATCAATATTTTATTTCTTCCAGCTCACAAGAGGTGATGCAAAACCTACTTTAATTTTTAACAGAAGGAATCCCTAAATTATATCCAAAGCAAATATTTCACTGCAACCTGTTAAATCTGATAAATGTAGTATCTAGGCAAGAGCTGTCAGTCTGGTAAGGAATATTGATGTTATTCAAAATTGTAAACTTTAACTTTTAAAAATTGAAACGTAAAACCGACTAAAACCTTTTTGAGTTTTAGTCCACTAAAACTGACTAAAACTGTCACATATAGTAATGACTAAAATATGACTAAAACTAATAATTGGTTTCGTCTTAAAGACAAAAACTGAGACTAAATCTATCCAATCCAGTCCACTTTATTTATATAACCCATTTAAACAACAAAAGGTTTCCAAAGTGCTGCACTTGCAACAAGGTTAATATAAAACAATAAACATAAATAAAACTGTTTAATACAATAAACACAGTAAAATAAATACAAAGCCACAGGGGACCACACAACTTACAAAATGGTAAAAGCCAGAGAATAAAAGTGACATTCCACAGTGGGGGCCATACGTACATCAAGGGGCAAAGCATTCCATAGCTTAGGGCCAACAACGGAGAAGGCTCTGTCCCCTCTGGTTTTCCGATTTGTCTTAAGAGTCACAAGCTGAAACTGGCCCTCAGACCTCAAAGCGAGCAGGGGATGGTATATTGGGATGAGGTCTGCTATGTACTGAGGTGCCAGTCCATTCAATGCTTTGAAAATAAAAAAACAATATGTTAAAACCAATTATAAACTTAACTGAGCCAGTGCATTGGGGTGATGTGTTGACGTTCTTTGGTGCCCGTTAAAAGTCGTGGCCCAGCGTTCTGGACTAAAGGGCTGGTTATATTCCACGCAGCGGCGTGTCGCATTGAGCTTGTCGCAGATGCGAAAAGATCTAAGATGGCTGTAAAAAAAAAAAAACTTGCACCAATTTACAAGACGTCATCTTCAAGAACTTTACCAAGACAGTTAGAAAATCTTGTCAGATTGGTTTAAAGTTTTATATCTAAGGAAAACCAGCTGATCGCATCGAAGCAATTTGTGTTTCCATCAGCTTTTTCTAATAAGCAGCTTTTTCATTTTGAAATATTGACAAATGACAAAATTCTAATATTTTATATTTTATATAAATTCAGATATTTTATGTTTGCCTGAAGTGGTTTTTGGCTTTTGTAAAAAAGAAAGGGTTGATGCACAAAATGTGAGATGGAAACATTTTTTTTTTAAATCAGTTCTGATGCAGTGAATTTGTACTCACACGTCAGCTGTTTCTGATGTCAGTGTTTTCCATGATGTTCCTGTTATGCGTATAAACAAGGCTGAAAGCAGCATTGCCATTACTAGCGGACATGTTAACCTACTGTAAGAGCAGCTTCCCTGATTCGCATTTACTTTTGCCAAACTTTCAAAAGTTTGCTTAAAATGAATATTTCAGTTGAATGAGAACACGGCTATTGACTCTACAGCAGGGGTAACCAATTAAAAATCAGCAGGTTACGAATAAAGAAAATATACAACTAGTAAAAAAAATTATAGTCCGTTACTTCAAACAGAATTTAACATTGAAATAAAATGCACGTGTTTATGCATCCATGTTATACATTTAATTTTTAAATAAAAAATATAAAAATAGAACATTTTTCCATTTTAAAATCCAATTTGTTTTTGAAGTATACAACAACAATATTTCAGTTTGTTATATAGACAAAGCCCACATAAAGCCCATATAAAGGCATTCTGGGTTTGAATGGCGACAATGCCATTGAAAAGCACACATCAAACTGGATCCATATTTATTTCTGATTCTGTTCATGGTGGAGAATCCTGCTTCACAGCAGCAGTTTGAGCCAGACATACTAAACTTTTCACTTGTCACCAGTTCACTGCAGTTCTTCCAGCAGTCCAAACTTTCTCTGCTCTCTTTTTCTCATTATCTTCTCCTTCTTTCCCATCGCCCGGCTTGCCACAGGTTTGCCTGCTGGGTCTAAAAGTAGCAGCAGCAACCCAGACTGACAGCAGCTTATAAGCTAATTTTTATCACGTGCAGCCTGGTGCTGGACTCTACAAATGGCTTTACCGTACAAACAGGAGAAGCGGCGTAAGATGTCGTCAGACATCATGCAGTAATGTTTTAAATCAGGTTGGGTCTGGATTAGCCAGCAGGTAAGTTCGGATCCACTAATCTGTGACCTCTGCTCTACAGCAATCCCGCACACCAGGGATAGATTTTCTGCTCACAGCCCCCTTTCTGTTTCCTTAGCGAAGTGAGTATTGAACTCTTGGATCAGGTACTTGCTAGACACATGGTTTCCCTACGTACCTCACTATGTAGCCTGAGAGCCCCTTTACTGAGGGGTAGCAAGCCAGAGAAGTGCTAGCTGAGATTTGGAAAACAGAAGGAATTTGTTCTAAACTGAAAGTGACATCTGCGAGCACTTTGGATTTGAACTGAATGACAACATGAACCACTTAACTTGTGTGAGGAAATGTGATCTTTAAAACGTAATTTAAAAAGAAAGCAATTTGTAAACCTCAATCTGAAAAGTTGTGAAGATAGAAAGTAAAAAAAAAAACAAAAAAAAAATGATTGGAGAAAATAAAATCAAAGTTAGTCTCAAAAGATATTTTCATTAAAAAAGATTTTAAAAATGACTCTCTGGGTTGCTTTTTTTTTTTTATTTTATTTCCATTGACAGAAACATGCTCTTTGCTTGCATTAATACTGGAACAAAAACACATATTTTGCATTAGTTGTTACTTCGGTTTGCTGTACCTGCTGGAAACACGTCTAATTCACATTTACTTTTTTCCTAAGTTTTAAAAGTTTGCTCAAAGGTAACATAAGAATTGGATGGAGAAGTGGTTAATGATGTACTGTACGCACATCAAACCCTAGTAACTTTTTATTGTTGGAAAACTGTCTTGTTTAACGAGGGATGGACTGGATTTGTTTTTGGCCTTCTGTATCGCTCTAAAAACGTTTTGTAAGGCTTAGTTGCATGTAAATGTAGCAGGATTCAAATAAAACATGACTCTTAAAACAAAGGCTCTAAACAGTACTAATTAAAACTCAGTGAGGGGCAGAGGAGTTGGAACAGTGTTTTTAGTTAATAACTAAAGGATTCATGAAATAAATAGATGTAACTTGTGCTTATCTAATGCTTGATTTATGGTGACAGTGACAGAGGAAGCAGGAGTTTGTCCTGCAACCTAAGGGCCAGCGGTTTGAACTCCAGCTCTGTTTGTTTCAGTTTGTCCATCCAAGAGCAGGATGAATCCCCAGCATTGCTTACTAATGGAGGTCAGAGTTAGCTTCGCTTCTGTCAGTGTGCGCCGGGGCAGCTATGGCTGCAATGTAGCTCACTGCTATCAGTCAATATAGTGTCCAGTTTAGACAGTTTAGAGTCCCCTGACTTGAAAAGGCACTCTATAAATACAGCTCATTTATCAACATTTTGATAATAAACAGCATTTTGAAAAAAATATCATATTTGACCTGAGGAGGCTGCTCAGTGGTGCAGTGGGTAGCACTGCTGCATTGCAGCAAGAAGGTTCTGAGTTCGATTCTCTGCCTTTTTTTCTTTCTACAGTACATGGAGTTTGAATGTTCTCCCTGAGCATGCATGGGTTCTCTCCGGGTACTCTGGCTTCCTCCCATTGTCCAAAAGCATGACGGTTATTTGGTTTCTCTAAATTCTCCTTAGGTGTGAGTGTGTGTGAATGGTTGTTTGTCTCTGTGTTGGACTGGCGACCTGTCCAGGGTGGACCCCGCCTCTCGCCCGTAGACAGCTGGAAATAAAGTGACAGAAAATGGATGGATGGATGGATATCTAACCTTCAGTGTGTAAGATTTACCTCCATCTAGTGCTTTACTAAATTAATCAATCTAAAGCAATGCGCTGGTGCCTCCCAGCAAGCACCT